ACGTCACTGCTGGAAGATGGCAGGAGGGAGGGGCTACTATATTTGGGAAAAAATGGCCGCTCCCAGACTCAGTGATCCCAACAAAAGTTATTGTTATTTTTTTACTGATTAACGCTTCATTCATTAAATCACTGCACACATATTAGTTTTAGGTATAAATAATGATCCATTAATTATTCCTTGCTGACCGAACTTTTCCTTAAAAAGGGTTTCAGTGGGAAAGGGGTATATGACAGGAAAAATGAGAAGTCTTGCGTCTGATGTATGGTGCACATAACTGCATTGGCCTATCCTGCTATCTTTGCTTTTTTTAAGGTGAATTTTAATCCATATTGATAATATTCTTCGTTCTGAAGGATTTAGACCTCTCAGTACCATGTGAACTATATGAAAAACACTTATATAATGGGAATAATATGGGAATATTACGGGAATGGCACCATTTGTAAGTGTGCTGTTCTGTTTTGTCCTCTCACCTTTTTCATATACAGTCTACACTCATCTTTTTTTGTGTGTTAATGCAGAACGACGAGGCAAGGCTTGGCCCTCCTATTATCACATGTACGCGATCCTACGGAGCTGAGGCAGAAAGCGACGGTGTTAAAAACGCCCGACGGCCCGACTCCCAGGAGATACAAGACAGGTCAGTTACAAAAACAAAAGGGACCCTTTTGATTCTGGGAAGACTATTTAGACCAAACATGTGATTGGATTGGCGTCTGTTCTTGTCGTCCTCAGAGAAGAGCAGTTTGAGGACTATGGTGAGGGGGTAGATGTAGATTTCAGCCCCAGCAGTCCGTGCCCAGAAGAAGACAGCAGGACAAACGGCTTCTCAGACCTCGGCTCCTCACTGCCCTCCAGGTTTGTGTGGAAAAAAACACCAAATCACAAACTTTTCATTCGTTCTCAGATCATTTTTTAACACATGTTAAAGGTTTAGTGGAGGATGTTCTTTTTTCGGGTGGATCATCAAAATTAGTGGTCCTCCTAACTATCAATCATTCTGGTGATGTTTAAGTAAACCTGTCCAACGTGCTTGACCCCATTTTCACTTACTGGTGGAGAGTCTTACATAGTGGCAAAATTAAAAATCTTCTTTTTGAAAGCCAGCTTGTATGAGTGTCGCAAACAGCAGCTTTTAAACAGTGTGCACAGGAAGAAATGGGCTTGTGCACGGTCTCACACGCGTTTAATAGACGTTCCCTCTTGGGAGTAAATATAGGGTTGCCCATGTGCATTTTTTATTTAATGTGGAGAGGGAAGGTCTTAAAACATTTGCGAAGAGTCTCAACAATACCTTTAAAATGTTTTAATCCATTTGAGTCACTAAAACCAGTGCAAAGTTCTTAAGGAAATGTTCTGCTGCTGTTTTGCCAAACTGTAGCTATAATAATTGAAGGTTTCAGTCAGTTTAACGCACTCTGTCATGTTCCGCTTGAACCCTGTTGGGTAATCTACAACAACAGAGGAAGCTGTTCTTGTTCTCCAGTAGGTGAGAACCAGAAAAGAGTTTTCTCTGCTTCTGAGGTTCAGAATTAACAGAAACCCGCCCGTCATCCGTCACAGCTGCAAAACAATGGAAGGGGAGGCCTGTTTTAAGACGGATGAGGAGAGCAACGAGGTTTCTATTACTAAGTATATCAGCAGATCCTCAGATTATCCAGTTTGTATCAGATCACCGTACAGACGTTAAAGCCAGAAAAAAACAGGTATTTTCAACCCAAAAGACAAAAAAAGTAAATCATCACCTTTACCTGCTTCACAAACCTTCCAAATCCTCACCGACTGAATCCTGAACCTTTGGCAATTTGTTCCACTTCAGCCAATCAGGGACTAGGTATGGTGTGACGCAGAGTGAAGGAAACTTCTCTCAGTCATGATGGAAGATTGATTAATTAATGTTGAATCAAGCTACTCCAAATAATAAAAGTCACTGAATATTGAGTAAAGACTAGACGTCCCAGGCCCAGGTTGAATGCTTAGAATTTTGACAGATATTTCAGGACATGCTTTTTGGTAAATGAGAAAATCCAAAAGTAATGATTAATTAATCTGCCGAAATTTAATTACCAACTATAATAACAAACTAATACTGAAGTTAATAAATACAGTAATGTAATAATAATTATGCATCAATCAATTTTCTCCCACTGAGTCCTTGTCAGGGTCGCGGTGGGGGCGGTACCTATCCCCGTCAGTCTATGGGCGAGAAGCGGGGTACATCCTGGACAGGTCGCCAGTCTGTCGCAGGGCATCACAGAGACACACAACCACGCACACGCACACATACTG